CATGTGTGTCAACTCAAGGTTTAGGGTTTGGGGCTTAGACGGGATTAGGGAACCCTAACCCCGTGTCCACCTTTAACTTACTGGTGCTTCATGGAGAGTGGGAGAGTGGATCTCTAGCATAATCCCCATATGAGCTATAATCTAAACTCCTAGTATCCCCTTAATAATTCATTTAATACTCCACTATGTAATCCTCCTATATAACCCTATAGAGGTACCTATATTCACTCCCCCACTGCCCCTTGAGCACCAGCAGGTTAAGGTTCCCTATAGTCCTCAAAGTACAACACCTTGGCATGACCCCATGAATACGTCAACTCTGACGTAACTGCGTGACGGAAGTTCAAGTATACTACTACACGCTGTAGAGTTTAGAATGCCGAGTTTTCCTCAAGATAGACCCTAAGCCCTAAACATGAACAATATTGACAGCAGCCCTCTCATATGAAAAAACCCTTACCTTGGGGGCTAGAGGAGCCTGCTTATCTAACCCTAAGGGTCCAAGGACCCAAATAATAGGGTTTGTGGGCCCTATTATTATTTGGGTCCTTGGACCCTTAGCTAGATGTATAGCAACGCCATGTAGATGATCCGAATTTCAGGGAGCATGTAGTCCCCCGCAGAAAGCCCCAAAGCTGCATCCCCTCTCCAAGCTGAGCATCGGGACTGAGACACGGCACCCGTCGGACGCGCATGGCAGCAAGTTTGGCTCCACAGCCCCAGGTGTGGCGTGTGCAGTTGCCCTCCGTCCTTGTAACGTTACGGCAACAAATTTGCGAGATAACTGGACATGGTTTTGGGCTGCAATGTACCATAAGTCAAAAAATGCGATTGTTTCATGCGAATACGGTATGGTGGCAGTCTGAGGTTACGCATGTTCTGAAGTAACAGCTATTGGCGTTGCATCGACCAGGCATTTGTTGATAATTATTCTCAAAGGGAGCGTTAAGGCTGATTTGGTTCATGGCTTAGGAAAGCCTTGGGGGCTAGATGAACCCGAAAGGGATTTAAGACCTGTTTAAGGTAATAAGCTGTATAATGGCCTAGCCAACATGATCCCAATTTTGAAGGTTCGTTGTGTTTTTGGATTTAACATGTTGAGCGTCTGCTGCTCTGATCAACATCCTTGCTTCTGAAATGCCCAACGGCATGAACCGCAAACCAGGACCCTCGCAGAAACTAACCTTAATTGGGGTTATAGGGCCACTAAGAGTCGGTAATTACTTAGGCCCGAAGGTGTTGGAGTGTGTAGGAAATGAACACCTTAAACTCGGTTTAGCACTGTAAGACTCCAACACAAACACAACATGCAAGCCGAATTCTGGCCTGCCCCGCCAACCCACACAAGCCCCTGAGTAACGGATTGCCGTAAGGGTTAGGGTTTAGAGTTCAGGCTTAGAGGGTTGTAGACATCGTCATGAGATCCCTTTTCAAGTTCCATGGTAAGTACCTGCAGCTTTCTCGTTTGTAAGGTCCTAGGCGGGCCAATTGTCTCCATTGCGCGCGCATGCGGTGCCCAAGAACTGTGGGGGGTCAAGTCTAGAAGCCCTTAGGATAATAGGGTGTAGCGTTAAGGGTTTGGGGTCTAGGGTGTGGTTGTTTCTTTCGGTTCTTTTACATCTGCACCACGAGAGACATCCACTGTCAGCCGATGCAATGCCCCACCCCAGTCCTTCGGGTTTAGGGTTTGGGGTGCAAACCGCAGGTAATGTTTGGTTTTGGACACACAGTATACACACTCACCTATATTCGGGTGTATGTAGTATGGAGGTAGGTGTTCAGAAGTACACGCTTGCAGTCGGTGAATTTGGAGGATGATGATTCCAAACGACTGACAATTCAGCCTGCAACACATATGGGGAGTTTCTCGAAATGGAGAGGGGGTACCCTGATTAGGGACCCTGGGATGTACATATGCAGCCACAACCTTTTAGACACATGTTTCTGTATAGTCAGCTTAAACTGCCCAACCCCAAACCATTAAAAGCGTGTACTCTCCAAATCTAGCATGGACGGCCAAAGGGGGCTCTGAAAGATACTGTCCGTTTCAAAGGCGGATGAATGGATTTCTATGCTTTGTTTAGGGAGGGTAGCACCCATATTTATCCTTGACCCGTCCAACCCTAGCTCCCTGAAAGCCACCTGGTTCGTTGATTTTTGCCAGGGCCTCCAGCACAGAAAGCAAAGTCTTTCACCAGCAGATTCGGTAATGGCGGTTTGTGACGGCCCACTAAATCAAAACCTTTGTTGGGGCAGGATATGGCAAGTTCTAACCATTTGAGACATGGTAGTTTCACCCTAAACCCTAAACCATGAATTCTAGAAGGAAAGCCCTAATTGGCGGAAGCCCACATCAAACCCTAGACCCTTAAACTTGGACTTTACCCAGACCCTCCTATTTAATTCTTTTTTGGGCGTAGATTGTAATTCCTTGCCAAAAAGCCATAAACCCAAAAAGGAGCTACATGGGAGCCCTTGGGTGGAGCCCCTAAACATTGAGCATCCCGGATCTGAAAGCAAGGCAGTATGACGAGACGCTATCTCGTAGGCAGCCAAAAGCTGCCTCAAAAACAGCCTTTTCCGCGTGTAAGAGCGTGTAAGGGTTTGGGTTTGGAGGTTTAGGGTTGTGATTTTAGGTTCAGGGGAACCTCATTCCTGTTGAAAAATCTGTTGATACCCCAAAACCCTAAACCGTATTGATGGCAGAAATCTTGCACTGCCCGAAGTCGCGGAAGTTGTGGGGGTTACACTAGTTTAGCGGCACAAAGTGGTGCAGGAATTCATCCATCAAAATCAGGCATACGATAAACACCCAAAATGGAACCCAATGCGCCCCCAATACATGAGCTATAATCTAAACTCCTAGTATCCCCCTTAATTAGCCCCATAATAGTCCCCAATATAATCCCCTATATAACCCCCCTTTAAGGAGTTGAGACTATAGCTCATATGAAGGTAGTATGAGAGGTCGAGAAGTGGCAGGAGGGTATAACTTGACTACAGGATCCTATACTACCGCCGACCTTATACGCCCCGCCGTACTACTCCCAAATCAAATCTAAGGATTTAGTCTTTAGCTTCGTAATTTTGGATCACTGGAATCGCATGTGGGGCTAGGGGTGTATGGCGGGTCTGGTATCAGATATTAATCGACCCTGAACGCTTCTTCCGAGACCCAAATCTTGATACATCAAGCACAAACTCTAGCTGGGGTGAACTGGAACTGTCAAAACGGCTAGGATACAAAACTATGAGACGCAAAGCGCTGCACCCCACTGAACCCAAAGCTCTAACCCTATAACCATCAACCCAAATTCCTGAATTCGAATTCCTTAACCCTAAAACTTACCACCTGACCCTTTTCTGCCCTTCACATCTAGCTAAAAGTTCTCAGGATGAAGAGACTTAAACCTGCACCAGTATCACCAAATCCCCAGTCCATGGCTTCAAAAAATTCAAGTACCTTGGGTCTGTAAATCGATAATTAAATACCCTGAGGATTGCACCCTGGCAGCTCCATACGATTGTACATTACAACTATGTATAAAGCAAGGGATCCAACTAATCAGGTGCTTTCAACTTCCCCCGAAACCTGCCTACAAAGATATGAGATTTAGTCTGAACTCCAAGTATCCCCCTTAATAACCCTTTTAATACTCCCCTATATAAACCCCTTTAGGAGTGTAGACTATAGTTCATATCAGCTATTTGTTGGATACCTGGGCCCTCTGCTACGAAGTGTTGCAGCAGACGACACGCGGGAAAAGCAGCAATTCAGTGGCAATTCGGATCCGAAATCTTCTGGAAGCATCAAAAAAACTCTACACCCTCCTTGATGGCTGATGAACTAAGTACCTCGTTCAAGCTGGGCGTATCACATTACTTATTCTATGCCCACTACCAGGACTTGAAGAGCTTGCTGCAGATAACAAGTAACACAGTATCCCCAAGGCCAAATGGTTATCCTAGCTGCCATGTGAGCTGTAGTCTAGACTCCAAGTATCCCCCGTAATAACCCCTATAGTAGTCCCTACATAATCCCCTATATAACCCCCCTGTAAGGAGTTTAGACTATAGCTCATGTAAACCCTAAACCCTAAGCCCCAAACTTTTCGAATAAATACAGGCTTGGTTGGCCTCACAAACCAAAAAAATGGCTATCTACTAAGCTGCTAAGTCGTGAAGTCTCATTGCTCAGGGGTTTTTATAGGGCTTATATATATATATGTAGGGACAATGGAAAAGAGAATGGAAACTACTATTTAGGGTTTAGGGTTTAGGTATATTTTGTGGCTATGTAAGGGTAATCTTGGGGTTAATGGAACAGAAAACGGAAACTACCATGTAGGGTTTCGGGTTTATGAATATCCAAGTACCGTAGACCAGCGATTAGGGAAAGTCCGGTTTCAGGGCTGAACAGTAATCAGTGGGCGGGAGTCAGGATAGAGGGTTTAGGGTTTAGGGTCGCAATCAAAATAGGTGTGCAATCAGTCGCCAAGCCGCATTGTTTGAGTTTACGCCGTAAACTCCAAGCCTTGCACTCTTAAACTTCAACACTGGGGCTCCTATGAAGGACATACAGGGGTAGGTTGCAACCCTAAACCCAAAACTTCCAACCCCTAAACCCAAAACTTCCAACCCCTAAATCCTAGATCTGAAGCCCGAAGCTGTATAAGGCTTATAGAGGCAAATATAGGAGAGTTGACCTGAGTCCTACCCCTTCGAAGCGACCCCTCATGTTCGGAAACCCTCATTTACGCTATGGTCTACATCCTAAACTGAAGGCACCTTTTTAGCTGCGTGCAGTATGGAGCCAAAAGTAAGTTGAAAACAGATCACTTTGTGATCACATGTCATGCAAAACTGCACAACCCTCTAAACTACCCTCACATCCAGTCACGCCTCCCGAATGAGGTAGCTTTCATCTGTCTCATGAGTGGTGTGGGTGTCTAGGCCTTGAGAGACAGGTCGTGTCTCCCATCTCTGCTGTTGAAACCCATTCAGCTGAGGAATTTTCGGATCGTCCCAGCATCTAAGGGTTTCGTCATAATGTCTGCTAACATGTCGCCTGTATTCACCTTCTTCAGGCGAATGCGTTGTCTGTCTACCAGGTCCTGCACCCATAGAAAACAGGTATCTATGTGTTTCACTTTTCCCAGCCCCCTTCGGCTGCCAATGGACATTCCAGTAGTGGCGTCCATGTTGACGCATACTGGGCAAGAAATGTTCCAATCAGCAAGCATGGCTTGCTCTCCCAAAGCGGCACTGGCCGTCGAAATGAGGCCACAGTACTCCGCCTCTCCAGATGAGAGCGCAATAACAGCTTGCCCTTTTGCTGTGGCTTTGATCACGGATCGGCCAAGTTGGATGACTGAACCAGTTGTGCTTTTGCGAGTCCGAACACAACCTGCATGGTCAGTATCCGACCAGCATTGGATAATGCTGAAGCTATCTTGATTGGGTATCAGCTGAACCAGCCGTGGAACACCCTTCAAGTATCTTGCAGCACGCTTTAGCAAGCTCCAATGAAAGCTGGTAGGGGCTTTCAAACCCTTCGCCAATTCGCGGACAGTTCTCAACATGTCCGGCCTATCCATTGATAGGTAACCGATTCTCATAGCCACTGACCGGTAGTATCCTGCTTCCTGGTCAGTCAAGGGAACTTCCTCTTCATCTCCTTTGCTTTTCACCAGCGGTGTGGCGACAGGAGCAGCCTTCTCAAGTCCTAGCTGTTCTAGCACCAGTTCTACGCGCCTAGGATCAGCTTCTAGTTCTATGCCGTGCTCGGTCCAAGAAACTAGATGGTTGAGGACTGAGATCTTGTGGCACACATTTGGCAGACGCGAACCGGGCCTTGCCAAAATACCACGGACTTCTATGGTCCAGGCCTTTTTCAGTTCTTTAATGAGCCGTTGAAGCTTGTCGTAGCTTCCGACTACGGTGAACTCATCCCCATGAACATTACAGCGCAATGAGAACTCATCATGGACATACAGGCAAGGGTTGGAGACTCCCTGCTTGAAACCTATAGACTCCATGACATCCTTAATGGCATGTTCCCAGTTGGAAGGGGCGTCTCGCGTTCCGTAGAGGCTCCTTTTCAACAGACCAACTTTTGTCTTGTCCTCCCCAGCTTCAGGAGGTAGCTCTACCAGAAGTCGCCTCCTAACAGGGCTCCAGAAGTGTGCCTTCTTCACGTCTATGAACAGGACGCACACCTGGTGAGCTTTTCAGCTTTGTCTGGCACTTTGGAAGTGGTGGCTAAGGTAAACAGCGCTTGAAGGCTCGCTGGAGAGCGGTGGCATAGCAGCAAAAAAAGGCGGCTTGGTCCTCGCCTTCCCTGTAATCCTTCTTGCGTTTCAGCTCTTGGGCCACCAAGCGGGAACGCAGTTTCATATGTGGGCTGTCACCTTTGTTGATGTCAATCCACCGTGCGCCGATGGTCTTTTCCCCAGGAGGACGGGGAATAACCTCCCACACGCCCATGGTGTTGATCGTTTCGATCTCTTCCGTGCGGGCTTGCTTGACACCTTCGAGTGGCAGTTGCTTGCCAGTGTTCTCGTCGAAGAACTTCTCCTCCCACAGATCGTCCTCCAGATCGCAGGTAGGGTTAGTTTTCCCTTGAACACTTGCTATGAAATCTTCCCGTTCTTGTGCAGTGAGCTCTTCGATCATACCCTCAGTGCTCTCTGTAGCTTTCCGCTTCTGAGGTTCTGATCGCGCTTCAGTGGGTGGTACCTCAGCCCTTTGCTCGTCGCCTCCACCCTCGCTTTTCCTCTTTTGACCTGTAGGTGGCGCCGCTGAAGCAGCTACACCACCTGGTCTTGAGGCACTCGACCCACCATGGAGATCTTGTCCCAATGGCGGTTGTCATGCGACGGTTAAAGGCTTCTGTTGTGCCACTGGAGGCGCTGCCTTGGCCTTCGGTTGGCTCGCCTCCTGACCAGCGCTGGCTCTTCTCCTTTTCTCATCCGATTCCCGGACTCTCTCAAACAACTCCTGTTCTTGCTGACCTTCTCGGTCCAGTCGGGCTTGTCCAGCTATGGTTTCTTTCAAGGCATCAGTGATGCGCTTGCGGCAATGCTCAGAATGGTTAATGCCTGCTCGGTCACGTCCTTTGCGTACAGCGTCACAGCCAGCGGTGTACCCATGACCATCTAAGTCGGCTTGGCGAATGTAGACCCTTCTGGGGCGAGCCAGCTCAGGTCGAACCACTTCCCCCAAGAAAACTCTAGCTTGCCATCTGGCATGTTGCAGCGAAAGTCAATGGCTTCACCAAAGCATGGTAAGGCCACTTGCCATCTTCTGCCTTTGATCCTTTGGAATGGAGTCATCCGTTCGTTGGACTCCTGGCTAAACAGGGTACGCAAGGTACCTGCGTACTCAACCATCCAGGCTAGCACAGCAGATGTTGGCTCAATGGTGATGCCCTTCTCTTCCAATCCAGCTTTAAGGGTTCTCACCATCCCCTGAACTGTTTGGACAGATCTTTCAGCTTCACCATTGCTCTGACCATGAGCATCTCCCTTTGGAGACTCCTCAGGAGCAATCTCCCCATTGAAACCATTCCTGACTGCCACAGCTAAAGCTTTGATGGCAGGCTCTTGGTCATTCTTGAGAACCAACTTTTTGTAACCAAGGAAATTGAGATCCTTAAGAATTGCCCGCTCTGGGTGTGTGTCGACCCAGTCGTCCCTTTGCAGGGTAACAGGTGTGAGAAGATTGCTTTGGAGTGCCTGTCCCTAAGGACCACAGTTGGCAATCCAGAGCCATCAGCCCTTTCATTGAAGTACAGATAATCCATACTCGCAACAGGGACTGTTGACTCCTGAGTGGAAGCCTTGTGTTGAAATGCCCTTCCTCTCCCAGCAACACATGCTCTACACCAACTCCTGTAGGGCAAATGGGATACCTCATGCGCAGCACAATCATCTCAGGAGTTGGCCGGTCGTGTCTAACAAGCGGTTGGGCCGGTTGCCCATCTTCCTGATCTTCAGGTGGAAGGGGCGCAGCTGAAGCAGCTTCATCCCTTTGTGGTCCACCATCCATCGCTTCCCCAACATAAAGCCTTCCTGAAATGCCATTTTTCTTTGGTCTCAACTTTTCCTTTGACAAGTCTGTTGCAGTTTCACTTCTGCTTCTGAACTTCACTTTTCTTGTGTTGGGCTCATTTTCCTTTTCTTCTTCACCTTCCTCGTCACCTTCTGATCCTATGTAAAACTGGTCAGGGCAACTAGCTACAGGTGGGGGACTAGTTAGGTGAAAGACTTTGTCTTTTCCTACCGTGCCAAATTGGCTGTTCGGTGAGACGTATGAATTCACAGTTAGGCTCTCCTACAGCTACAGCAAGTTCAGTGGGTGAAACGCTTTCAGGCTTTTGGTCCTTGGGTCTTACCTGCCTTCCTCCACGCAGTGCCGTGGGAAATCCTTAAAGAAGAATGTCGCCTTTGGCGACCCATTGATCTTGAACACAAGGGCCTTCTTTGCATCGCCCTTCACATGGATCACGGCCCTCGATCCTTTCAGGATGATCGTGTGGCCCAACTTGAGCACCTGCGTGGCGCGCAGCAAGGCTCTCTGCACGGAGGCCACGCAAAAGCGCACTTTGAAGGAAAACCCTTCCTCAGACTTCAAAGCAATCTCTGCGGTCCCCAAATTGGGGATCCAGGTGGGCCCTGCACTGGGCCCCGCTGCACATTCTTCACCCACTCCTTTGAAATCACGCGATGGTGGCCGCCGATGCGGCACCACCATAGGCATCCTGAAAGGAGTACACAACAGCCTCCTTGGCACCTTCGCCACGCCCAGGTGGGCTCCTTGGCCTCTTTCCCAGTGGTCGGTGGCCTGGGTCGGGTCATCGGTATCCTCATATCCAGGCTGCACGTAGTCATCCTCATCCTCCGTCAAAATCTCGATAGCTCTCTTTTTGGCCATCGCAGCCTTTCTCTTCTTGTAGTACAGGTCCGCTGGGTGCCTTGTCTTCCTGCGCCGGCTCTGGCAGGAATTACAGTCACTGTCATCATCCCAGGCTCGCCTGACTATGGTCTCTCCAGCAGTGCCGCGGGAACCATACTCAACAACTTCTTTCTGATTCCCACTCGCTCGCGGAATCGCGGTGCAGTCTTAAACTGCTTTACCAGCCCCCTGCGCCTGATCCGCTCAGTCGGAACAAAGGGGCGCACTCCCCTCAAGTAGTTCACTGTTCTTTTAAACAGCTCACTCTTTCTGTTCACTGCTGGCCTGCTTGCAGGCTCCTGGCGGCTTTCGCGCCACGGCGCAGTAGCAAGGGCTTTCTGCACCCTGTTCCTCTGCCTTTCAGTGAATATGGGGAACATTCGACGCACCACTGCACCTGACCTCTTCATCGTCCACGAAAACTTCTTCCTGGCCCTTGCAAGGCCTTCCTGAAAGGTACGGAGGAGCTCAAGGTCCCTTTCCCCTAGCCGCTTTGCCTTGGCCCTTCTTCTTGGGCTTTCTCTAAAGGGGATCTCGGTGGAGTCTTGGGCTCTAGTATGGGCCGAGCCGGCTCAATACCATCACCCTCATCCTCTTCTCCCCTTTCTTTTCTCTTCTCAGCTTGCCGGCGAGCTCGTCTCTGCTTCTCTCTCTTAGCTTTGCTAAGCCGGCCCTCTGGCGTCATACGGCGGGACTTTAGAGTCCAATCCCGCTCCTTTGGCTTGTCCAGCTCATCTCCAGAAAACTCGCGGTCTTCAGCCTTCCCTTTCATCATTGCTTTCTCCCGTCGGGAAGGAGGAGCAGCAATCTTGGATCCTGCACTTGGGATAAGCGGGTACTCATCCTGCTTGCGGGCCTTTTCTGGTACGTTGAACCGCTTCTCCAAGGCCTCTTCTCTGCCTAGCCGCTTCTTGGCCTGTTCGGCCCTCATACTCTGGCGGTGTCGGGCAGCACGTTGCCGCGACTTCTCCTTCTGAACCGCCAAGCGGGGATTGTTTCCCGCGTCGATGTCAGCTTTAAGGCGTGCTGACACTCGCTGGTTGTGGCTGGCTTTCAGTTCTTTCGCTCGCTTGATTTGGTCTTCGACCTGACTGATCATCAAGGCCAGTTTACTGACCTCTCCAGGATCAGCCTCTGCCCCGCGGGCCCTTTCATCATCCAGTTTTTGCGCCAACTCACGACGGCGTTCTGTCAGCTTGTTGAGGATACTGGTGTCTGCCATTCGCAGGCCGACAGCGGTGGAGCTGGCTGTGCCAACCTTTGCCTTCGGGGCTGGCTTTGGCATTGGGTCCGTTGACCCACTTCCGGGTGTGCGGCGATCCGCCTCATCACCCTCCATCTTCATCATCTCCACCATAGTCAGCTTCATCCTCAACGTCGAGGACCCCAATGAAGCCCAACTCGGCTTCATCGTGCTCACCCTCTGCAGGGTAATGCTCATCGCCATTGCCCTCAGCCATGGCGTCCCCTTCAGCACCCTCAAGCTCGTGCTGGGTGCTTGCCTACATCAAGTTTGCTGTATTTGTCGTCAACGAATATCTCCAGGAATACGCGGTATAGGGTTTAGGGTTCGGGGTTTAGGGTTTGGGGTTTAGAGTTTGGGTTTTGGAGTATAGGGTTTAGGGCTAAACAAATAAACGCGTAACCAGGCAATTTTGGGGCTTCCAGAGCAAGGTATGCCTGTGGCGCCTGACGCTGTGGCTGAAGCAGGCAACGCGTCTGCGAAGCCCGCTTGAGGTTTTGGGGCTTAAGGGGGTTTTGGGTTTTGGGTTTAGTGTTTTGGGGCCTACCCTAAGGGTCCAAGGACCCAAATAACAGGACTTTAGTGCCAAAATACTTAGTGGCATTTGGGCCCCCTGTTATTTGGGTCCTTGGACCCGTAAGCCCTGAACCCTAAAACCTAAGCCTCTAAAACCCTAAACCTTAAAACCTTATCATTTGGGTCCTTGGACCGGTAAACCCTAAAACCCTAAGCCCTAAGACCCTAAGCTGTAAAAAACCCTATTATTTGGGTCCTTGGACCCGTAGGGTTAGGGTGGTTTTAAGCACACCAGACTTGTCTGACGAGGGCGAGGCATAAGCTTTTGAGAAAGACTCCAAGTTTAGATGGAAGTTAAGGTTTCAGGTTTAGGGTTTAGGATTTATAGGGTTGAGGGTTTAAAACGGTTTAAGGATTTAGGGTTTGAGATGGTTTAAGGATTTAGGGTTTGGGATTTGGGGTTTTGGGTGCAGAACATGTCGGGCTCGCTCAGGTTGTAATGGCTTTAGAACCGCAAGCAAGAGGTGTACCCTAAACCCTAAACCCTAAACCTTAATCTTCCACCCTACCAGCGCCTCCGAGCTACCTTACTATACCATGGTGCCCACTCCCTATATAAACCCTAACTCTCGGTTTCGGGCCTAAACATGAACTGTCACCCCAAAACCCCATATCCAAAACACCAACTCTGACAACCCACGTTTACCTTGTTTAGGGTTTGGGGCCATGTTGGGGTTATATTGGGGGGTAATCTTAGGGTTATATTGGGGTAATTTTAGGGTTATATTGGGGTAATTTTAGGGTTATATTGGGGGTAATCTTAGGGTTATTGGGGTAATTTTAGGGTTATATTGGGGTAATTTTAGGGTTGTATTGGGGTAATCTTAGGGTTATATTGGGGCAATCTTAGGGTTCTATTGGGGTAATATTAGGATTATGTTGGGCTTCGGTTGGGATAATATTGGGGAGTCTAAAAGCTTCAACAAGTCAGTGGCCTGCATGCATGACCAACTCTCACATCTGTTTAGGATACCTGTAGCGAGGCGTCAAGTCTAGGCATGGGCGCGCGGTTTAGGGCTGACCGCCTCCTTGGGTTTAGGGGTTAGGGTTTAGGGTTTAGTGTTTAGGGTTTAGGGTAGAATTTTCTCAGGACTTAGGGAATCAGCAGTACAGCGTCTCTTTCAGGCATTTCAGGCATCGCGTGGTGCATCAGGATTGGTGGGACAACCCAACCGGCAATTGCTGGGTTGCTGCTAAGGAACTCAAACTAAGTTAGCGTAATGTGGTTGTTTAGTATATAATGGGGTTTCCTGGACCCTAAACCCTAAACCCCTAAACCATAAACCCTAAACCCCTATTCCTTTTCATAGCTAACTTGATTTAAGTTCCGTAACAGCAAGC